TTCCTGGTGGGAGTCATAGGGGACAGACTGTCCCTGCCATTCCCTCCCATTAGGGTTGGCTCGAACGATCACGCAGGTGGCTGAGTAAGAAAGCTAAGAGCACCTCTGCCTGCCCTATGCACCCTCACACACCGCCTGCAGTTTCCCCCCACTCCTTGGTCAATAGTAGGACTGAGTGGACCTTGGGATCCACTCCCTGCAGAAGATGAGGGGAATTTGCAAGAATCCAGAGATGGGGAAGAAGAAAATTTGACCTTGAATACATGGCCCTGCTCCAAGAGCAGGAAGACTCTTGATGATATGAAACCAAGCTGGGCTTAAAGGCGCCTGTTGTTTCTGTACGTAGCCTCTACCCATCCCTTTAGCACTAAGGGAACTCAGAAATTTCCTGGTCCCCTCCCAGAACAAGCCAGCCCCTGGCCACGCCAGCCAGTCAGTGCCCTGAGCACATCAGTGAGACCTTTGATTTTTGAAACCTTTCCTTCAGCTCAAGAAAACACCAGAGAGATGGGTCAGCAGCGCAGAAAGAAACACACACAGGCTTCCTCCTGTGGGTGTCTCTAAAGGGGACCGTGGAGGCAGGGATAGAGACAGGACTCATTCTCTGCAGGCATCCACATAAAACATCATATATATCTTTCTTGTTCAAAATGATCCAAGTTTCCAGTGTAAAATCTGTGAGCTTATTGCATCTGCCCCGTTGATGGTTTATCTTTGTCTTTGCATCGGACTCCTCCAAGGGTACTGGGCTGTTGTTATTGTGCTAATTCCCAAGGATTTCACATTCATGATCTTCCCGGACATATAGGGAGACTCTACCAAAGCCTAACTACCCCAAATGGTGAGCTCGTGGCACTGCCGGCACTCCCTTCCCTTCTAAACCTAGGCAGATGTGTGCGGTTGGTACTGGATGGGAGAAGTCTTTTCTTCAGCATAAGCCCTCACAGATCAGAGACTGCTCTGAATTCCCTGCCCATGAACAGCACGTCTGCCAGCCTCCTGACACTTGTGCTGGTTGCTTGGAAGTGAACGGCATGTGAAAGTACCAGGGAGGCACGGGGACCGTATACACACGCACGCACGCGCACACATGTTGGGTCCTTCTACATCAAGAGTCAGAAGTCTTTGCGAGTGAAAGAAAGAAGAGCAGGAATCCAGATGGGGAGTTGTCTGTTGGCTTCATCCTGCTCCAGGAAGCAAAGGATGGCTTATCTGGAGCTGAGAGGTTTGCCTTTAACTGTCTCCATGCAATGAAAGTGATGAGCCTCCTGGGGGGTCTTTTCACATCAATGGTGGCTCCTGGGGTGTCTGAATACCCTTATCTTGTGGCTCAGATAGTCACTGGAGTCTCAGCTATCTCTTCCAGCCTCTGGCGAATCATTAGCCGGAGCACAGTGTACCTGGGGACAGAAACAGGCTACTGTGAAGACCAGTCAGCAACACACCCCTCTTCTTACTTACGCTAAAAATAATTATTTTATTTCATTTATCATCATTTTTTTTTTCTAATTTGCTACAGGGCATGCATGCTTATCAGAGAGAAAGAAGGAAAATGAGAAAGCAAGGTGCCAGGTCCAGGACTTGAGCTGTAGTCGACCATGTGGGAGTCCAGTGCCTTACCCACCATACCACCTGCTGGCCCCCAGACCCCTCTTCTTGATCTTCCCTACCACCCCAAGTAGCACCAGAGAACATGTGGCCCAGTCATCCTGCCCCTTTGCTTCTATTTTGCAAGAAATGTTGCTTATGTTTATTTCCACAACAGAGTGAGAGAGAATAAAGAGGCCACATTCAAATTAGATTCTTTCACTGTGATGAGAAAGTCCAGCAAAAAATGAAAAGGTAGAAGCAGCACCATAAGTGTTCCATTAAATAAGTGTCTACTATAGGACACTGGGCACAGTACCTTACATGCAAAGTAGCCCATTAACCTTCATTTAAAATGAACTAAATAAAATTGCCAATTTTAAAAAATTATTATTATTATTATTATTATTATTATTATTATTTGCTACAGGGCACATGTGCAAGCTGCCAGGTCCCAAACTCAAACCACAGTCGGCCATGTGAGATTCCAGCACCTTAACCACCACACCACCTGCTAGTCCCCAAAATTGCCAATATTTGACTCTTTGAAGGGCCTTACAAAACATATGAACTTCTGGGGCCAGACAAGGGTGCAGCAATTACCAGCTGGGGCCATAAGGGAGCCCTTAGTTCAGATCCCGAGATTTCCCTATACATACTGGCACATGCGCGTGCCCGGGGTCTGGGCAGGCTGAGACTGCAGATGGATTGCAGTGTGAAGACCCCACTGGGGGATCTCTATCTTTCTCACAGAAGACAGAAATAAGTGAACTTCAGAAAAATGTTGATGGACATTTCCTGTGGTTCAACCCTCCATCAGTTTCTGCATTTTTCAGAAGGTGCCATAGAAACTATTATAAGAGGCAGGCAGGTCCAATCCGTGTGAGGAGTTCAGTCTCCCATGACTACCCGAACTGCACTGCGGGTACTGGAGTAGGCTCTGCCATGCAGGCCTAAATACATTCCTTATGTTCAGGGCCTCACACTTTTAGCAAAAGCTTTTCTTTTTTCCCCTTTTAATTGCTGGAGGATGTATGTGCTCATCAGATGGGAGGGAGGGGGAGAGGACACTCCCGATGGGGCACGGTCACGCTGCAATCCCTACTCCTCCATTGCTCCATCCTATTGGAATTCGGGGCATTCACAAACATGTGTTCAGTATATTTACAAGCTGCCAAGGCAGGGATTTGAATCTCAAATGGTCAGCTATACGGGATCCAGCTCCCTTAACCATTAGGCTAGGGGGCTGGCCTAGTTAAAGCTATTTTTAAAGCTTAGAATGCAGGGACCAGCAGTTAGCGTAATGGCTATGTTGCTGAATTCCCATGTAGTCAACTGCAGTTCAAGTCCTGGACCCGGTGGCTTAAACTCATGCTGGGTACATGTGCGTGCGTGCCCAGGATCCCGAGAGGAGAATGGAGGAGAAGAGATTGCAGCGTGGCCATTCCCCGCAATCTCTTGCTTTCTGTCTCTCTGGTGAGCGCACGCACCCTGTAGCAAAAAAAAAAGCAAGCAAGCTTAGGATGCAGTACGTGTTCAATAAATGTCAACCACTTTCATGCTAGGTATTATCACTGATATAGCAAATACAGCGTTGGCTTTATTCTCCAGTGGCAAAATCAATCCATTGTCCCACCTCATCTAAACACAGCTTACTCTGGGCTATGAGTAAACATAGCAAAGAAATAATAAAAATCCTCCCCAGGGAGAGGCCCTGCTGGACTTTCAACTCGGATGAAATTTTCAGAAAAGAAATGTCAAAAGAGGAAGGAGTCTAGTGCAGAAATAAAGCACTGTTCTAGAGAAGCCAGACCCCACACAGCATGGGCAATTTGAATCCCCAGCTGCTAAGCTTGAAGCACTCTATCATGAATTAAAAAAATAAATAAACAAGAGGGTGGGAATATTCACCTTTAAACAAAAAGGGAAGAAGGGGGGCCGGCAGGTGGCATGGTGGTTAAAGATGCTGGACTCCCAAATGGCAGATCGTGGTGCAAGTCCTGGACCTGGTGGCTCTCTCTCTCTCGCTCTCTCTCGCTCTCTCTCACTCTCTCGCTCTCTCTCCCCCCCTCTCTAGTTAAAAAAAAA